AGTTTTGGGGGTTTGAGTCATCAAGGGTAAATTAAAAGCAACCAGAAGGTCTATCAAAAAAGGTTCAAGGTGCAAGTTAGTGCGTTGTGTAAGGTAAAGTCGGCATCAAGCCAAGTGGCGCATGCAGCTGGAGCTTATCCTGGTTTCAGTAGCATCAAGCGACTACGAGTACTTCTACTCCCCCGTGGATGGGATGTAAGTCCAGCGCAGGATTACCCCTCAACATTATTTCGCTGGTACCTAATTATACACCTGGATGGAGAATAAGAGTGAAGTGTCTTGCTCAAGAACAGAACACAATGAACCCGGCCAGGGCTCAAACCCGACCATCCAATCCAGAGTCAGTACGCTAACCATTAGGCCACAGTGCCTTCCAATGTACATTAAAAATATCATTGCATTTTACAATTATTTATTTTAGTTGGTATTTTTAATAGAAATATATTGATGTTGTATTCTACAATGGAAAACTTACCCATGTCATTCACTTCCTCTGTTGAGGATCCAGCAGTGTCTCCTGAAATTTCTTCATGCACATCATGTTGATCACCTGTTGGGCAGCTGCTTTCTGAGAAATCATCAGTGTCATCCAGACTGCAGTTACCCGTGTGAAAAACCTCCATGGAATTCCATGGAAATCTATGGATTTCCATTGAAAATTCTCCATGGAATTCCATGGAGGATTAGGACATCAATTTCCACGGAATTCCATGGAAATTTCTCCATAGATTTCCATGGAAAATATTTGCATGGAGGATTAGGACATTTCCCATGGAATTCCATGGAAAACATGAAGGCACCAATTTCCATGGAATTCCATGGAAATTTCTGCATCAACATTTTCCATGGAGGATTAGGACATTTTCTATGGAATTCCATGGAAAAGTTCCATGCAATTCCATAGAAACTACTCCATCGATTATTCCATGGATCTCCAGGGAGTTTCATGGAATTCACAGAAATTAGACATTTAAAATATCCAATGAATCAAATGGAATACAAAACAGATTTTGGTCCACTGCAATTTATTTAATCAATAAAAGGACCGCATAAATCTCTTTTTAAAGATATCAATCAAAAGTTAACATGCTTTTGGCGGAAAATTTGAGATACTGTAGCCTTAACAAATTAATGTTTACTTGTGACTATACTGACTATATACATTGCAGTTTAGAATGCAGCAATCATATTGAAGTAGCTTAAATGAAAAATTCAGATTTAATATAAAGCACGGAATCTTGGCCTGGAGTTTAAGAAAAGTAACAGGCGAACAGATGCATAATTGAGAGAAAAAATATACGCTAATACTTGAATGCATAAACCGTCTATGTAAGACTTAAACATGACTTTCTTTAATGCGACGAAAAAGGGAAGTGCTACTTATCTCGATCAGAACCACTATGGTATTTAGTTATAGCAAAGTCCTACCTAATCCTTTGGAAAGAACGGCATCAGCCTCAATTATAATTTTTCAGTCTTTTGTATAGTTTTTACGTAGCAGGTATGAAAATTCTAAATGATGATATTTCTTCTTATACATCCAAGCAGTCTATCATACATACATACATACATACATACATACATACATACATACATACATAGTTTATTTGGTAACGCAGGTTACAGAATACGCAAGACTGAAGTCCTGATTTGGACCTGCCTATCTACTTGTTAAAAACTAGAGTATATACATGTGAATAAATAGAAAATCAACAGAAGTTAAATAATAAATAATAATAACAATACAAATATAAATAAGATTAATAAAGAAATGCCTCATTCCTATTTCTTATCATGGAAGATTCCTTATTATAGCTTTTAGAATTAATTAAGTCCTTGCTAGATCTAAGTCTTTTTTTAAAACATTCTAAGCTAGAAGACTTTTTGATCGAATCGGGAAGTGAGTTCCAAGCAATGGCAGCTCTATGCTTAAAAGTCAGCCCGCCAATTTCTGATTTAGGACTTGGAAATTCAATATTCATTGATTTCCTCAGGCAGTGAGATGATTGTTTTAACATTACTAGATCATTTAAAACATTAGTATTGCATCTATAGTAGGATTTATACGCTTCTACTAACAGTCTCTTAGTATAGTAAAATCATAAATTGTTCCAGCCTTTCAATTTATTTAATTGATCAGCATTCGAATTCCTTGAAAGTTTAAAAATAAGTTTAGAAGCTCGTATATGAGCACGCTCAAGATCATCCATTAGTGCAGGTGAGCAGGAACCCCATACTAGTATTCCGTATAAGACACTTGGAAGTACAGTCCTAAAATAAATGGTCTGTAGAATGGATGATGGCAAGAATTTAATTCTTCTGAGGACTGCTATTTTCTTATTAAAAGATTTTAACAGACTTTTAGTGTGTTCTTGCCAAGAAAGATTACTGTCTATAGTTACTCCTAGACATTTACATGATGATTTTAATTCAATAAATTTTTCACCATACTTCAAAGGCAACAATGGACCAATGAATCTTTGTTTAGATAATAATAAGGCTTCTGACTTAGTTTCATGAGCAATCAATCTGTTAGCACCACACCAACTAAGAACTTGATCTAGTATAACTTGCATGGCCTTAATTATAGTATCAATATTATCACTTATGGTAAATATGGTAGTATCATCAGCAAACATATAAAGTTCTCCCGAGGTTACAGATTCAGGAAAGTCATTGACATAAAGGGAGAACAGTTTGGGTCCTAAGATTGACCCTTGTGGTACTCCAAACTTGATAGAGCTAGTGTCTGATTTCACTTCATTAACTTGAACAAATTGGTTACGATTTAACAGGTAGCTTCCCATCCAAGATAGTAAATTTCCTGATATACCAACAGCTTTCAACTTTTGTAATAGGATGGTATGGTTCACCGAGTCAAAGGCCTTCCTGAAGTCAATAAACAGAACACCAACTTTAAGATTATTATCTAGGGCCCACTTCCAAGTGTCAGTAAGATGAAGAAGGAGACCCTCTGTAGAATGATTCTTGCGAAAGCCCCATTGATTGTCACTAAGCAGGTTCTGAGCTTCAATGTGATTGTCTATGCTGTTGCTTATAATATCTTCAAGAATCTTTCCTGGGATACTTAAGAGAGATATGGGCCTGAAGTTGCTCATATCAGTGGGTGCTCCCTTTTTAAATACTGGCTTAACACGTGAGAGTTTCCAGTTTGTTGGAAAAACTGCATCATCTATACTTTTCTTGAAAACTGGCAGCAGGCTATGGATAGAAGATTCCCCAAGGAGTTTAAGGTCCTTGGGTGAGACTAGGTCCGGTCCAGTAGCTTTATTCGGGTTTGATGATTTTTCAATTTTCTTCTTCACTAGCTCCCAATTTAACTCTATGTCGCATCTTGTAGGAGTGACTCTTGTTACATAAGAAGTTAAGGTGTTTGGATCAAGAGGTTCCAAATTCTTTGTAAGTTCTTCACTGATATTAACAAAGAACTCATTAAAGTAAGAAGCTTTTTCTAGATCACTGGTTAATACATCTTTACTGTCAGTTATTATGGGACCAATAGTACTATCCTTACTTTTCCTTAGAACCTTGTTGGTTAGTTTCCAAAATTGCTTAGGATCTTGAGAATTCATAAATTCCTGTTTCCAATAAGCAGCTTCCGATTGTTTTAACAACTTTTTTACTTCATTTCTCTTGGATTTAGTACAGTCTTCGATTTCTAATTCTGCCAGAATTAGATTCCAAAGGCAATTTGTAGCAAAGACCACGTTCATATCTGTGTAAACAAAATAGATGGAAACTACATATTAAAACCGATAAACAGCACCCGAAAAGTCACCCTTCTAAATCTAGCAGAGACAATCGACCGGACGAATTCAGTTGAGCAACCAAACACGAGTTGTGTACATATTAAGCTTACCTTCCTCTTTAATGAGCGATCCAGCTGAGTCATTGTTTAATCGAAGTCGATTTGAAACAAGCCAAAGGTAAGCAACCTCACAAGTGATATTTGCATTGAAAATAACATCTTTTTCGGATGCATTCATTGCAAAGACAATCCGTTTACACAACACTGTCGCACTGCACGAAGTCCGCGTAAAGATTCGAACCAAGAAAACTGACCTTCTGCGCATTTCTGTTGGTTCAAAAGCCCCACGTGATCGCGTAAGTCACTAAGCGGGGAGGCCTGGGCGCCAGTTCAAGAACCAAACATGGCGTCAAATCACGGCACGATCGTGGAGATGTCTGTCTTTAAAGACTTTAAATTGTGGTCCCTTTCAGAGTTAATTGTACTATTCCGACGCTGTCGAAGAGTAAAGCAGTGAGAGGAAAATATTGCATTGTTCTCCCAGGTGAGGGAACCTTTGAAAAAAGGCATGTAAGTGTTACATCCAGAGATCAATTTACCAACTTAAAAACAGTTTATATGCTTTATTTGAACACAATGTACTCCTTTAAATACTACTATTTAAAATAGACTATTTGAATAGTATTCAAGGGAAGCTCGCTGCCAAGAAATCAGATCATGTTAAACTTTTGGCCTTCAGATGGTTTCCTGGTAGCTATCCTCTAATTACATCTTTGTTGTGGCTCAATTTTACCCTTAGTATTATTTGGTATTTTGCTGGTCACACTAGTCTTTTCCACAATGACATATTTATGTGAAGCACATAACAAAATACCATGAAATTCCGAAAACAAGCCCCAGCGTTTTTTATTTTATGCTTTTTTTTGAGTCCTTTTTAGTAGGCTTTTATTAGAAGGGGCTTATTTTAAAAGGTGTTTTTGCTTTTCAAATTTGGGGGGCTTATAAATAATGACATTGTAGAATTACATTTTTTTTCCTGCAGACCAAAGCCTTCAGATGTTGGTGATGCATTTGTCCTGGGTGTTTGCAAGAAAGAAATATTAGTCAGGCAAGAGTTGTTGGCAGTTAACAGGTTTCTGTGCTGTAGAGGGTTGCCAATTATTGACCCAATTATAAAGTGGAGGTGTTCCGGAGAGGAGTTGTAAATGGCTCGATCTTCAGCTACACAAGAATGGCACGAACTAAACTAAAGAATTCTTATACTGTTCAGTATGAGGACGCAAGTGGGAAACCCCAATTTGGGGAAATTCAGAGGTTTTTAGTTCTTCAAAACCACCATGTTGCATTAGTAACAAAGCTAGCCCCAAGTGGATCCATAACCTCAGACATTGAATCTTCCTCAGAGCTATTAAATAGATTTCGTGACTTGGGTGTTTTAGTCAGTCACATGACAGTGACTAAAAGGTCAAAGTGCTTATTTTGTATCCCACTATGTAATATAAAAAGGAAATATATAGTAGTCAGAAGTTCTAATAAGTGTGGAGATGATGAGCTAACAATTAGCACATTTCCAAATATAGTGGAGCATGACTGATATCATATTGTATGGTGTGTTTGTATAAAAGAAATATTGTTTTGTTGAAAGTCATTTTTACATGTATGTACAGGACAATTTATGAACGATGGTGTCATTTTCTGCTTATAAAAAAACATTTGTAATTTAATACAATAAGTTTTCCTTTGAAATTAAATTGGGTACAGGAAGACGATAAATTCCAGCCGTATTTTTAACTCCACATGCAGAAATGTAGAATAATAAGTTAATTAGACTGCTTCCTAAGATATGTTTAACACATAATTATATAACCTACATGGCTGTTAAAAGTCTTCTTAATTAAGTTTGACTTAACTTTTGCAAGTATGAATAAATCTTCTAAAATCCCAGGTGGGATCGTACATGTGAAATTATCCCAATGTTCCCAGGTGGGATGTATGTAAAGATCCTGGGTGACAATGTGTGATCCCAGGTGGGATGTGTGGATCCCACCCACGATCCTAGGTGGGATGTGATAATCCCGTGTTTTAGGCGGGATCCCAGGTGGGATTAATTTTTAATCCCAGGTGGGAATGGCGGGATCCCGCCTGACTTTTTACCTGGGTAACACCTAGCAATTTAGAACTACCGTGGCAAGATATCATCTCAGCACCCCATTCATTTCTCCATTGATTCTCTGTTGCAGCGATCAAGTGCGTCTCTTGTAAAAACAATAGGTCTGCTTTAATAATAATAATAATAATAATTTATATAGCGCTATTCAGCTACCCTTTCATAGCGCTTTACAATAATCAGGCTAACGTAGAACCTAAAAACTAAAAAATATAATAAAATACCGAGATATTAGTTAGAAAGCTTAAAAATATATATATATATACATTATACAAAAAATGAAAGTTAAAATCTAAGATAAAATTACAGATAATGAAAGGAATAATAATAGTAAAAAAAACGTGCATTAAACATAAAATTTAAAAAGCATAGGCTTCTTTAAAAAGATAAGTCTTCAAATGTCTTTTAAAAATAATGATTGATGGAGATTAACGAATGCTAAGAGGCAAGCTATTCCATTGCCTTGGCGCAGCAATGCTGAATGCCCGATCTCCATGAGTATTTAGTTTAGCCAGTGGCACAGTGAGCAGTTCTTGCCCACTGGAACGTAAAGGCCGAGAGCACTTACGATGGCTCAGGAGAGTGGAAATGTAATAGGGTGCTTTGCCATTGAGTGCTTTATAGACTAATAACAGGAGTTTAAAAATGATACGTGGATGATGGGGAGCCAGTGTAGCTTGAACATTATTGGGGTAATCGAATCATACTTCCTTGTTAACGTGACAATGCGAGCTGCCGTATTCTGCACACGCTGTAATCTACAAACTAAGTATTTTGGAATGCCATATAGAAGTGAGTTACAGTAGTCAAGCTTAGAACTAATAAAAGCATGGATGAGAATTTGAGCAGAGTCCTGGGTGAGTCCTGCTTTACGTTTACGACACCAGAAAAAGATGGTTCTTCTTTTGCAGAAATTATTTGAGCCCTTCACGTTAAGCGATATTAGTTTAAAAGCACTGTCACTGTATGCAAATTGTGGGACTGCAAAACAAAAGAGCCGAAAGGCATGAATGTAGACTTACGTTGAAAGCAAGTAAAGGATACTGATTGTGCATAGATAAAATTATTAAATAAACACAGTACGCGAAAAATAGAATAGAAAAACACTCGAAAAAATCTCAAATACAACACTAAAAAATGAGAAAAAAAATAATAGTAATACAGGGACACACGTTAACCACCTAAACACTAGCTGGTTTAAGCTCAACTTTGAAGCAGATAATCAAACTCTAAAGCTCGTAAAATTACCACACTTTCCATCCGGTTATACTTATAAGTTGGTAATATGAACAGTACGCATCCTTACAAATCTTATAATCGCTTAGAGAATAAATCCTGATTGGTGACCCCGACGGCGAGGTCTTGACATAAACAGTTCTGTCCAAGGTCCACACACTTACAAGGGTTCCATCGTGTTTGCGTTTATTAGCTTCTTCAACCAGCTCTCTTCTATAAGTCATCAGGTTCTCGTTTAAGTAGATTCTGCGGTTACCATCTGTAGAAGGATATCTTGGAAACAGAGTTTGTAACCTTACGTCCTTTAGTTTTGTTCGCTCTTTGTACAGCCTCGCCTTTGCTTTATGATTTGCAAATTTAGCGATGATTGCTTTTTTAATTGCCCTTGTTAATTTTATGTGATATTTCTATATCTTCGGGTTGTACTGTAATGTTGAGGGCTTCAGCTAGCTTAATAACAACTTGTTCCGTGTTTGTGTAGGCATCTTGTGGTATTCCATGGATTCCACGGAATTTTTCCGTGAGTATTGCTCTAAGTTGTCAAGCTCTTCTGATAGGTGCTTGGTTTCCTCATGCTGATTCTCTAGGTCTTGATTCACTGTTTTCAGTCGGTTATTCATCAATGAAATAGTATTCTTCAGTTCTTTATTCGTATCCGTGGCCTTCTTAAGAGATCCCTTTAAGTTTTCGATTTCTTTTCCATTAAAGTTTACTGATTCTGTTAGGCTGTTAAGCTCCTTTCTGTTAGGGTTCACAGAGCATTTCAGTTCTTCAAACTCATTTTGCAGCTCTATGTTGTCCTTTAGAATAGTGGATAGCTGTATCGAAATATCGATAAGAATGTTTTTTATCTCAAGAAGACTTGTTTCCTCTTGGCTTTCTTCTGATAACATTTGAATAGCTTCTTGATAACTGTGTTCGTGCCGCTTCCTGCCACATTGGCTTTTTTCCCAGCTCGAGTGTCTTCTTCAGTGGATCCACATTCTCCATGTTTGTTTTTTTCCCGTTCTTTGAGGACATTTAGTACACCATAAGTAAGATCTCCCATTTTAGATGGAACAGGGGAAATCTGGATGCCGGGAAAAGTGTGGTAAGGGACAAGTTAGTGGGTTATCATCGAAGGCACGTCCGCCATGATCGGCGCACAGGCTCGCAATTCCCGGTGACTTGGTTACTGAGCATGTGCTCAAATGTCTTATTTAGGGTCACAGGGGAGGTGATGGGACGATAGTTCTTCGCCTGCTGTCTGTCACCTTTTCTAAACACTGGCATCCTTTCTCCCATTTTCTACGCACAATGCCTTTTCCCCAGCTCTATACAGCTGTTGTAGAAAGTCATTAGTGATGGTGTAATTCCACAGGCCACTTTCTTAAGGAGTTTAGGTGGTGCTCTGGGGTCCCACCCACAGGACTTGTTGCGGTTGTTATTTTCAAGCGCCTTTTACACTTCATCCTTGCTGACAAAATGTGTTCGAAATGTGATGCTTGGTATACTTCTCTCAGGGTTTTAACACTGCCATGACTGCCATGGTTCTCTTGTGATGCTGATAACGCTGTCTGCTGCAATGTTAGCAGCAGCTGTAGTGAAATAGTTCACTAATTGCTCAGGTACTTCAAATTGATGTCGTACAACGATACCCTCTTCAGTTTGTAAACTAATCAAGGTGGACTCCTTAGTTTTGCTGTCAATAGGCCATTTGCACTAACAGGTCATGTGACATCATGTTTATGAAAATGAAAGTTATATGATTTTGCTTTCGCAAAACGATTAGTGGGTCATATCTTCAACAAAATAATAATGATTTGGTTTTTCAAACCCGCACCATTTTCTTTAAATGTATTAAGTTCGTAGCTAGTCACGTGACCAAAATGTGATTTTGAAAATTGGGTATTATCTTTCAGAACACAAATTTTGCACTTAAAGTTCAAGGGAAATGTTGAAAAGATGATGTGGTAACGTTTACAGCACATCTGAGCGTAACTATCAAACGTTTAACAAGATATAAGCAAAAAGTAGTTTTGGCCGCCATGTTGAAGGGCAAGAGTATGCCCTCCAACATGGCGGCCAATACAAATCATACTGCTTTGTTGAAAAATAAAAGTGCCATAAAATATCTCCCTTAAATGTGTTCCCTCTCAAATTCCGGGAGTAAGAGAATTTTTATTTGCTCTGTCAGTTTTTGGCATCAGCAAGATTCCAATGGATCGTTTAAAGGAAGCATTGGTCACGTGACCTCTTAGTGCAACTGGCCTATAAATGACCTGAACTCTGAATCATTTTTGAAAATGTAACTTCCTCTCTGTGTATTGCATACTAAGTAGCTTTAAAATCGACAGAAAGAAAAGAAAAACATCTTATCCCGAACAGTTGGTTCATTTTCCAGGGAGATCACATTAATCTCCCCACGTTCTTCCGGCTGATTGGTTTCTGTAAAGTGAGATATAATTTTAGGAAAAGAATTTTGTTGGTCACGTCAGTTTAACTACAATGAGAATTAGTAATATCGAACATTGAGTATAGTAATTCACAATATTTCTCTTTGTTTATTGTTCGGTAAATTCTATAGCTTAAGGCTGTTTACTCTGGAATTGGCTCGTACATATCATGTGTGATCTAACAATTGATATACCAGGGCGTTACCAATTGATGAAACCGATGATCGGAAAATCTATCGATCAATCGATGACAATCGATGCCTTGTCAGTTAATTGGCATCGGCCAATCGATGAGCAATCCATAATCACACAAAAGTGGTCACAACTCATCGATTGTCATCAATTGGCGTTGAAAAAATCTTGGTATCCCACACGTTCCAGCCTGTACGTATA